CTAATTATGTATATAATTACAGCACCTTAAGTTTAGTGATTGCAATTTGAGAAACCAATGTCCTTTCTTATTAAAAAGGCCCTTGTACAGAAAGTGCTCTATCTTCCTCACAAGATCTGGGGTCAAAGGAGAGATTTTGAAACATTATAACAATGGCTTCTAGTTACTGAATAAAGAGTGTCATTTGCTCCTCACAGGACCCCTTTCAGGGGGATTTTACATATTGGGAAACAGCCTCATGAGCTTTCTACAAACATCTTTGTCCTCGAGTCTTCCCATTTCAGCAATTGGCTGTACAACTCATCCAGCAGCTTTCAAAGTTAGAAACGTGGCAATCTTCCTTTAACATCCATTTGCCTTTCCCTCATTCCCCCATATCCAATTCTGTGTATTGGAGGTTTTCCCACCTCTAAACTTGAGAATCCATTTACTTTTTCTCCATCTCCTTTGCCATTACACTAGTCCAAGTGAAGTGTTTCATCGTCTCATTTGCAGTATCCTTTTGTTTACATTAGATTATCAATTTTTGTCCCCCTCCCAATTCAGTCTCTACTCATGAGCTAACATGAGTTTATAAAGTGTTCATTCTGACCATGCCATTCCTTGCTCAAACTTCTCTAGTGCCTTCCCAATAATTTTATTACAATAAAATTCCTCATATGGCCTTTGTGGATCTGCACTCTACCTCTTCTCCTATTGCAACCAACCCTGTTACCTTTTTCTCTTTTCACACTGGTCTTCATTCTTTGCTGCAAACTGGCTGAGTTTCTTCCATCCTCAGGGCCTTTTGCACAAGTTCTTCCTTTGCCTTAGAATTCTTTCCTGGCCTGCACACCTCTTCATCCCCTTTCCCTAAGCTAATGCTTTACCCTTTAGGTCTCATTTTAAACATCTCTTACCCAGGAAAAATTTCCCTGTCCAAACAAGTCTAGATTCCCCTTTGTTTGTTCTAACTGTTCTATATTTCTCCTTCTTAGCATTTATCACAATTCTTGATATTCTGTCCTTTTCATTTTCTCAGTCTCTATTATTGGAGTAGGTAATATATCCATATAGTACAAAATTCAAAGTGTATTAAAGGTATAGAGTAAAAAGTCTTCTCTTCCCTGTCCCCCTGCTACCCAGTTCTCCTCTTTAGAAGCACTTTTAGCATTTTGAATATCCTTCCCGAAATATTTTCTAAGTATACAAGCAATTATGTATATATTATTCCTCTTTATTTTTGCCTTTCATTAATACAGATACTATATGCATTTTCTGCACTTTATCTGTTAATAATGTATCTTGGCAATTATTCTATATTAATATGTAAATAGTTACCTCTTTCTTTTTCATGCGCCATATAGTATGGACTTTTATTTAACCTCTCTCTAGGTTGGTTTTAGGCATTGGTTATTACAAATAATGCTGCATTGAATATCTTTGTATGTAAAGTCATTTCCCATGTCTATGCCTATAGAATAAATTACTAGAATTGAAATAATTAAGTTAAAGATTATGTGCATTTTTAATTTTGATAGTTACTGCCAAAGTGCTCTCAATGGAAGTTTTACCAATTCCCACTAGTGAATGCATTTGTCCTCACAATTACGTCAGTGAAATTTTTGTTCTTTGGTAATGCAAGAAATGGAAAGTATCTCTTGGAAACTAATTTGCATGTTTTTTTTCCTTGCACAGTTATATTTTCATATGTTAAAGAGCCATTTGTATTTCTTGGTGAACTGTTCATAAACTTTGCTTACTTATTATCTAATGTCTGACTAATTTGCTACACTCTAAATTCCCAATTTATACTGAAGTCTCGCCCTTCCAATTTAGACATACAATCTTCCTCTTCAGTGGTGTCCACACCAAAAAATCCACAGGCCCCTGAATTTTATATGGGCCTAAGAGTCTTACTGAAAATTGGAAGTCTTAAGGTGTAGTCCATTTTATGCAGTGTGAGGCCTTTCATGTTCTGAAATGTACCACTCTTGACTGACTTTTTCTTCTTCACCCTGTCCAGCACTGTGTCCTTATTAGCCAGAGAAATGTTCCCCTTTCTCCCAGGAAACGTTCTGACTTTACCCTGGTCCCTGAAGGACTCTCCTTCTCCCCCAAATTAACTTTCAAGGAGTTTCTCCAACCCAAAATGGCACCTTCCTGAAAAGATTTCTAGTGGATACTGTTTTCTCTACCTCACTACAGATGTATTTTGCTGCTTGGCTCCCCTCTCTCCACTTTGCTATGGCAAACATTTTTTTCCAGAAATATATCAAATGAAATGAATATGTGGCCCCTTGTGGTGATTTTTGTTGGGATCCCTGGTATTGATTTCTTCTAGTTTAGATAATTCCACCGTGGCAAGCTTTTATTCCTTGCATACAGCTCATGAGGAGAATGTAAGTCACTTGGTGTTATTAATGCTAAAATAGTAAACAAGAACACAAAATTTGCTAGATTAGAAGTGGATTTTTTTTTTTTCCAGGCCGGGCACAGTGGCTTATGCTTGTAATCCCAGCAGTTTCGGAGGCTGAGGCAGGCAGATTGCTTTGAGCTCACGAGTTCGAGACCAGCCTGGGCAACACAGCGAAACCCCGTCTGTACAAGGGTAATTTTATGAAACAATTAGCCAGGTGTGGTGGCGCACACCTGTGGTCCCAGCTACTGGGGAGGCTGCGGTGGGAGGATGGCTTGAACCTGGGAGGCAGAGGTTGCCGTGAACCCAGTTTGTGCCATTGCACTCCAGCCTGGGTGGCAGAGTGAGACCCTGTCTCCAAAAAAAGAAATAAAAAGGAAGGAATGAATTAGCATGAATGAGAAAGGCATGATCTGCAGTGAGCCACCCATGGTCAAAGTTAGCAGATACCAACTCATTCTCAGAGCGAAGCAAAATCAGCCCAATGCTTTTGGCAAACTGGTTGCCTCCCTGTCATCATCATGTGGGCTCACTGTGGCTTGCCCTTCTGGCCTTGCCTCTGACCTTGCCATCTCTGGGGAGGCTTCTTTGCAAGCCCAAGCCTGGGCTCCCCCTCTCAGAACCATGTGCATACTTGTCCTGGAACTGGCTTTTTGCCTGAGCCTCCTGGAGGGCAGGGGCCATCTGGCACAAACCTGCATCCCAGCAGTTGCTAAATTAATGAACAAATACCAAGTCTTTCACAATGTAACTTGAGAGTGGAGGTAGTGGTAGTGGCAACTCCATCTGGGGGATGAGAGAAGGTGGAGGCTGAGTTTTGGGGGTGGCTTGCAAAAGAAGAGGAGAGAGTATTAGCAGCTAAAGAAGTGGCCAGGCTAAACACCAAGCATTTTCCTGACTGGGGAGCTGTGGGTTTGTTTAAAGGTAGGGCTGAGGAAGGGGTGAAACCAGTGAGCAGGAGAGATGGCTAGTGCTGGACTGGAGTGAAAGGCATCTGTAGAGGCAGGAGACAGGATGGGGAGGGAGAGGAGTTGGCCTAGGACAGGACAGGACAGGACAGGACAGCACTTATTTGAAGACTGGGGGGCAGGAGGAAAGGAAGGGGAGGGATTGAGAAATGACCTGGAGGTCCTCAGTCAGCTGGGAGAAGACCTGGAAGAGGGGGGATCAGCTGCTGTTGGGATGGAGAGGAGGGCCAGGAGAGGCAATGACTCACACGGAGGGAGGGTCAGGGATGGGGAGTGGGCGGTGGGGGGGCGGGAAAGACATACTCGCAGGGGATCAGAAGGCCCCGTGGCAACTTTGTGTAAGTCCTGGTTCAGTCAAGGAGAGGAATCCGAGGGGAAAGGCTGATTAGACCCATGGCCCACTCTGAGAGAAAGGGGTATTTTGTGGGTGCAGGAGGAAGAGCAGCTGGGAAGTAGGAGTGCCTGGGACTGGATCCAACTGGAAAGGGGGCAGATATGTCCCCAGGATCAGGGAAGGGACCCTCTAGGAAGGGGGTGTTCTGAGAGGGAGGTTGTGGGGAGCACTGTGTAGGGGTCCTTGGGGTTGATTTCTGGGAAGGGGAAGTCTGGGGCAGGGCTGTGAGTCAGGAAAGAAACTGTGAAGTCCACTCCTCACCCACCTCCTGAACCCTGGGGTCTGAGACCCTCAGGAAAGAGGGTTCAGTGGCACAGGAGGGTCCAGGGCAGGAGACAGAAAAGTGGCCTCTCAGGTCTTCTTGGAAAGGAACTCTGACCACCAGTGTGAATAGTCTCGAAGAAAGCTAAGCAGACACCCAGCGAAAGCCGGCCCCTCCCACTCTGGGAGAAGGGAGGGGCCAGCGGTTGCATGGGCAGCTTTCCTTGTGATGCCACAGGTCCTCTGGACATGCTGCTGCCTGGCCACACCTCCTTTCCCTTTCATCTTTCTCATCAACCAGTGGGCTTGGGAGCATTGAGGCCATGCCCCTATTCTGTGTTCTAGTGCGGTCCTGGTTATCCCTCCTCTGGCTTAGTACAGAGCAGGCATGTTGGATTTGGGGCTTTTGTTTTGTTTTGTTTTTGAGACGGAGTCTCACTCTGTCACCCAGACTGGAGTGCAGTGGTGTGGTGCAATCCTGGCTCAATGCAACCTCTGCCTCCCGGGTTCAAGCGATTCTCTTGCGTTAGCCTCCTGCGTAGCTGGGATTACAGGCACCTGCCACCACGCCCAGCTAATCTTTGTAGTTTTAGTAGAGACGCAGTTTCACCATGTTGGACAGACTGGTCTTGAACTCCTGATCTCAAGTGATCCACCCACCTCAGCCTCCCAAAGTGCTGGGATTACATGCGTGAGCCACCGTGCATGGTCTCTTGCTGTTTTTATACTTTCTCTATATCCGTATAGAGATGTTTCCCATGTAAGTTTTTGTTTCTTTGAATTTCTCATTTTTATTACCCCTGCATCATCTGCTACCCTGAAGGATCTGGAGGTAAGAGGCCCTGGGCCAGGGTGCAGTGACCCTGCAGGCCAGCCCTCCAACCTCCTCTCACAGCGGGAGCTGGGTGCCCCTCTGCCAACTGAGACAGTCCACACACACCCCAGCCCTAATGATTGTTCTCTCTACCTCTCCCCACAGTCCTCCTCCAACTCCTCCCCTCTGCATGCGCCTCAGAGCCGGTACCAAGAACTGGAAGTAGCCCTGGACTCAAGCTCCGCAACAATCAATCAACTCAATGAAAACGTAGAATCATTGGTAAGAGTCCAGTGGGGTCTCCTGATTCCACGCTGCCAATCTTGGGCCTTAGTTTCCCCTTGGGGCTCTGAAGAAAGGGGCTGAGGGCCCCTGGTCCAATGGGCAGATGGGGAGCTGAAGCACCCAGGCCTCACCTGGAGGGACCCCGGAGCAAGGAGCATGCAGCATGGCTCTTCTGTCACTCCCTTCTTTGCCAACTCTCTCTCCTTCAGACACCCCTGCTCCAGTCCTTGCCACACACACCCTGGGGTTTTCACCTCTCAGGGAAGCACTAGTCTGACTGGTTGTCAGGGGCCCCGTATTTCTGCCCTGACTCAGTCTCTAATTTGCCCTTGAGTCTGGACAAGCCACCTCTCCTCCTTGGGCTCATGTTTCCAGAGGAGGTAGAGAGTATCAAAGGTCTCTGTTAGCTCTGAGAGTCGGAGATTTGGGACCCTAGAATGGAAACCTCAGGGCCAAGGGCTCTCGTCTATCCTTTTCTGTCCTGTATCTCTGCTGTGAAGAACCGTACCTGGCTTGTATGTGCTCAGTAAATGTTTGTTGAATGAACACACCTTTCTAAATCACAAGCTGGCAGAAGGGTGGGCCTTTCTCAGACTCCATCTCTAGAGGTTTATGTTACTGTCCTTTCAAGAGAATCCAGATTCAGATTTTGAGTTGTGTGGCTATTGGCGAAAACCAACAAAGACCCAAATCTTCTGTCTTTGGGAGCTTGAGGAGAGTTGACCAGTTCGTGTTGCCACTTGGCCTGAGAACTTTGCCTTTAAAATCCATTCCTGGCCCCCGCCTACCACATCCTGGTCTGGGGAATAGAGCCCCGTCAGTCACCTGAATTTGACTCTCCCCACAGAAACAACAGAAGAAACAAATGGAACATCAGCTGGAAGAAGTAACTTTTTTTTTTTTTTTTTTTTTTTTTGTTCACGATATAAATGCTGGGTTTGGGGGGAATTCATGACTGCTGCGTTTGGGAGGCACTCAAATGTAGAGGTGCCAGTCTCATGTCGCCCACTCCCAGCCTGGGGAAGAAGGCTCACCCCTCAGATTCTACCCCATCCTTCCAGGTTATCCCCCGGTAACCTGGTCCCATGGGTGGGCCTGTCCTGGGGCATTGGTGGCATGCTGGTGGCATGTCTCTTGCTGTGGCATCTCTGTCTCCTTCGGGTAAGGGCTCTGTCTTCCTCTTCCTATAGGAAAAGAAAGCAAACTATGGAAATACACAAAGCACAAACAGAGCAGTTAGGGGTGAGTGGAAGGTGTGGAGTTTTCTCCTGTCCTCCCAAGAATGTTTCTTTCCTTCTCTTTCAGTGCTTGCTTGGCTTTTCTCCAAAGGTTCAATTCCAGACAATCAACATCCTCATGTTGGAAAGGCAGACTTGAAGACCACAGTTTACCATACTAAACGTGCCGCCACTCCCTTCGAGGGTGGGAATCTGGCACCCTGTTATCCTTCAACCTAGCACTTTGACAGGTCTTTAGGGGGAGTCCTTTGGGCCCCATCTCACCTCTTTCATTACAGGAGAATCCAAGGATCTGACCAGCCACCTGCAATATTCTTGAAGCGTATTGGAGAGTTGGAGCAGGCTCCCTCTGCTGTCTCCATGCAGCAGCAGGAAGAGGACAGGGTGAGTCCAATGAGCTGCCCCGTCCCCTGGCAGCCTGGCTTCCCAGATGCAGGAGTGAGCCTGAAGGTCCCTTCTGCAGGATGCAGTGTCCTGCCCAGAAGGCAGCATGCTCATTTCTCGCTGCTTTTTGTGTATGGTTGTTAGAGGCAGCCTGGGGTGAGTCAGCTGCTGTGGGGTGAGTTGGGGGCACCGTGGGGAGCGAGCACTGGAGCAGAGCTCGGAGGCCACACAGCAGCTCGAGGACTGGATGGTGAAGATGAGAAGTTTCGATGTGGGGAGCCCAGGCCATTCCACACAGTGCCCCTTAAAAGGGCAAGGGGTAGGCTCAGTATACAACTCGGTCAGTAAAGATCAAGTCATTTCCAAGCCCGTGGTCTGGTTTTTAAAAGAACTGTTCTACATATTCCTGGAACACTAGAGGTTGTGGGAGTGGGAGGAGAGGCTGGGGGAGTGGGAGGAGAGGTTGTGGGAGTGGGAGGAGAGGTTGTGGGAGTGGGAGGAGAGGCTGGGGGAGTGGGAGGAGAGGCTGGGGAGTGGGAGGAGAGGCTAGGGGAGTGGGAGGAGAGGCTGGGGGAGTGGGAGGAGAGGTGTGGGAGTGGGAGGAGAGGCTGTGGGAGTGGGAGGAGAGGCTGGGGGAGTGGGAGGAGAGGCTGGGGGAGTGGGAAGAGAGGCTGGGGGAGTGGGAGGAGAGGCTGGGGGGTGGGAGGAGAGGCTGGGGGAGTGGGAGGAGAGGCTGGGGGAGTGGGAGGAGAGGCTGCTGGAGCAGGAGAGGCTTTGGGAGCAGGAGGAGAGATGCTGGGCAGGAGGGGCTGCGGGAACAGGGAGAGAGGCTGAGAAAGCAGG